CTACAAACATTGTAATACAAAAATGATTACAGTGGCTTATTCAAGTCAAATAATGAACACAAATATTTTAATATTACAAACAAAACATTATAAATTTAACATTAAATAATTATATATATATATATATTTTTTTTATGACCTCCCGCGGCCCCCCTGCAGTACCCTCGCGGCCCACCAGGGGGCCGTGGACCCCACTTTGGGAGACACTGGTTTAGATGATTTAAAAATATATATATATATATTATTGTCTTTATTTGCATTATTTCAAGGTCTGACAACTCATGGCAGATGGCAATGACAGCTCAAAACAAGAAAAAACAAAACAAAAAAGGATGCCCCAGCTACTGCAAAAAAAAAAAGTACACAAATTTTCTCTGCAATCAAAAAATAAATAAATAAAATTAATAATTACAGGCATCAGTCAATAAAAAAGTAATGAACATAGGTCTAACAATGTTTGAAATTACTTTTTAATTTTTTTAAATTTTTTGTTTTTTGTTGGGCTGATTATAGGGCTTCATAGATTGTTCCCTATACATAATTAAGTTGTACTTGGTTATTTTTTTCCGCTGACAGGGTTCTTTCAAGGCTTAAAAAATATTTTAATAAGGACTTCCATTTATCTAATCCTGGGAACGTCTCTGCTTTTCCAGTTCTGCAGAATTATTTTTTTGTAAACCAGTGCGGAAACAATTATTTGCCATCCCATTGGATATCTACAGTAACTTTGTCCATGTTCTGAAGCAGACAAACTTTAGGCAAATTTCAGCTTACATACATTTGAAAGCCATGTTTCAATGGCTGTCCAGGATCTTCGTATATTCTCACAATACCAAAAAGAATGGGAGTCACTCTGATTGATCGCATCTCAAACATGTGGGAGCAGAGGAGGAATCAAATGTATGTATTCTATCCCAACTATAGTACATTCTAGTCATTAATTTATATTGGATCAATCAAAGGTTTTCGTTGGTGGGGGCTGAGTATGTGAGCCGCAATCCATCTTTCCATTTTATTTCAGTATCAGAACTGTTCATGTTCTGTTTCCTAAAAAGATCCTTACTGCTCTTAGGTGTGATAAGCAATTGGTATAGAGTGGAAATAAGTTTCTTCCGTTTGTCTCGTTCAAATATATGTCTTAATTTTTCTGGGACTACCTTCTTAGTGTCGCAATGACCTTTAACCTTAAGTCAAAGTACTTATCAAGACTATGTTAAAATAATTTTTTAACCCTTGAAAGTTATTCTTAAACACTGTTTTTTTATATTTTTTATCAGCGCTTGAATAGCAGCCTAAGTATTTAATCTTAGTTTGTACCTTAAATTGTTTTAATTGTTCCATTTGTTCTTGATTTTGATTGATTGATAACATTTCAGTTTTTTCCATGTTTATTCTATATCCTGATATTTTCTGAAAATTGCCATATTATAGTCATTGTACTTGGGATAGAGGATTGAGTGTTCCTCAAGTATAACAACAGATCGTCAGCGAATAAGCTTAACTTGTATTCTTTTTTACCTATATTTATTCCAATTACGCTTTTTGTCTGTCTTTCTTTTCGGCAAGGGGATCAATCGCGATGGCAAACAGGGCTGGAGATAGGCAAGGCAAGGCAAGGAAAGTTTATTTGTATAGCACAATTCATACACAAGGCAACTCAAAGTGCTGAACAAAACAAGAAAGCATCAAAATCATAAATAATCACAGAACATTAAAAAGAACGATAAAAATATAAAATCCCACAAGCAGAGCTGTTTTAAAGTCTATTCTCTGAGCCACAGGAAGCCAGTGCAGAGACCTGAGAACTGGACTAATGTGGTCGTACTTCCTGGTTCTAGTCAGGACTCGAGCTGCTGCATTTTGAATGTACTGCAGCTGTTTTACAGCCTGTTTGGACAGACCTGTGAGCAGGCCATTGCAGTAGTCTAACCTACTGGAGACAAATGCATGGATAAGTCTCAAAGTCTGCTTTAGACACTATGTTTTTGATCCTGGCAATGTTTTTTAGATGGTAGAAAGCTGCTGATGTTACTGATTTAATGTGGCTATTAAAATTTAAGTCTGAGTCCAGTATTACCCCTAGATTTCTGACCTTGTTTGAAGGTTTTAGGGAGAGAGACTGGAGGTGACAGATGACGCTCTCTCTTTGTTTCTGGGGACCAAAGACAATAATTTCAGTTTTGTCCGCGTTTAGCTGAAGGAAGTTGTTTTGCATCCACTCACTGATCTGTTTTATACAGTGAAGGAGTGAGTCCACTGGTCCATGTTCTCCTGAAGTCAGTGAGACATAGATCTGAGTGTCGTCTGCATAGTTGTGATAGGACACTTCGTTTCTGCGTATTAACTGACCTAACGGCAGCATGTAGAGATTGAACAGAAGAGGTCCCAGGATCGACCCCTGTGGTACTCCACAGGTCAGGGCCATATGATCTGAGACACAGTTTCCAATCTCCACAAAGTACTTCCTGTCTTCAAGGTAAGACCTAAACCAATTTAGGGCGGTGCCAGCGACGCCAACCCAGTCCTTTAGTCTCTGTAAGAGGATCTCATGGTTGACGTTGTCAAAGGCAGCACTTAGATCTAACAAGATTAAGATTGAGGCTTTGCCTGCGTCAGTGTTCAGCCGGATATCATTTGTAACCTTGACGAGAGCAGTCTCAGTGCTGTGGTGGGGTCTAAAGCCGGACTGAAACATATCAAATGAGTTGTTGATTATAAGAAATCTAGTAAGCTGTAGGTAGACAACTTTTTCAAGGTCTTTCCCCATGAATGGCAGATTTGAGATGGGACGATAGTTGTTAAGTACAGTGGCATCCAGACTGCTCTTTTTTAGAAGGGGCCTGATGACTGCCGTTTTCAGGGCCTTTGGGAATATTCCAGAATGAAGGGACATGTTTACTATCTGTGTGAGTGAAGGTAACACACACACACACACGCCATAAACGCAACGATGGACACGTATCTCTTGGGCAGAGCGCAGCGGGTGCCATGAGAGGTCGCGCCGCATATCTCCTCAAATGTGGGGCGCGTCATTTGGTTTTGGATCCAGAGTTTCTCTGTGAAATCCTGGACCACAACATTGCAAAAGCTTCTCATCCTCTCTCAAGTGTACAGCGCTCAATTGCATTCACAAGATGCTGCAGACGCTTCATTCAGTTAGTGATGAGAGCCACCGCTGAGGCTATTAAAGCTGCATTACCTCACTTTATCTTTGTATTCATTAGTCAAATCAATGCAGTGCATTGGGACATATGTCCTTTTGAAGAAAAAGTTGCGCAGATTTGTGCTGGCATGTCATTTTATTTTAGATCGAGTTTTTGTGAAACAAGGAAGATAATTTGATTTGGGACCAGATTATGACCAATCACAGCGGACCATTGGCCCCCACTTTCTTGAGAAAAGCCACAGGTCTCTTGTTAGCACAGACAACTGAGGTAAACAAGTGGCGGAGTCTAACCTGAAGCTTCCTGTGTCTTCATTACCGGTTACTGCTTACAAAGCGAAACAGCCATCCAAAAGAAAGTCTCATTCCTTAGACAGTTAGTGCAGCTTTGATATTTATGAATGAATGACTGAATGAATTCATTATTTATTTATTTACTTTTACAGTTCAAGAGAGATTTTTGTAATGTATCAAAAAAGTTTTGCAAATGTGTTCAAAGGAAACGCAGCTGAATATAGCATATATTAATTTTGACATAAAAATGAACAAAAACGTGCCACAGGCCTTTTGAGGCTTCCAAACAGTCTTCTTGGCCAACTTCCATGCTGACCTGTCGGGGCGTGAAACAGGCGATTGCGCCATATTTTTAGGGGTGACTTTCATAAATATGTTCGTATTCAGCCACGGCATTTATGAACACACGCAGGTGCGTACGCTCGGATCTGGGCGGATCTCACACGTTCATAAATCCCACTTTGGATCTTGCGTATTTTGAATCCACACCAAAATGTACACCTTTTTCTGCGCAAGTTTCATGAATGAGGGCCACAAATTCTAGTTTTGTTTTCAACTCTTTTTCAGAGGTTTTGTTTCTCTTCTAATCTTCATAATGATAGTCCGAAACAAGCAAATCAGGCAAAAATTAACAGAAAAATACTAACAAAGCATTCTGCTGCTGTGACGTCTTGTTCCATCCTTCAGCTACAACGTCTCGGCTGCTGTGACCTTAAATACTGTTGCATTACTACAACTACTATTAGGCCCCGACTCTACCGGCTCCATCATAGCCACAGCTCATACAAATCACACACCACTTCTTCTATTTGGTTGGGCAGCTTTGCTGATAAACGCACAGCCAGAGCTGCGCGCTGCTGAAGCCGGTGTTGCCACTATTCTGTTTACGCATGTCTGACGGGCAGCAGCCTACGCGCGTAAATGGAGACGCGGCCGGTGGAGTCCAGCACTTAGGCTGTGTTCAGACTGGATCATTCGTTCAATGCTCACATGGACGAATGTTTCATTTGTCCATGTGAGGAATTGCATGAAAGTCGCAGCATGCACTTTTATCCTGCAAAGCAGCCGCCAGGCAGAGGCGGTGGGTACAGCAGCTAGATGCATGCAGCGAAAGCTAGAGATGAACATCCTCGCTCCAGACACTTGTGGCAACCAATGAAAGAGCAGCAATGTCACAGGGACATGTGCCGGTCCAAACCAGGAAAAGTCACTCGAAAACAACCAAAACAGGAGCTAAACCAGGATTAAACAGGACTGAGGATGGGCGACACGGCGCTTGTGAAAGTCTATGTCTTCACCTTGAGTTGACATTCTACTACATTCTACAAGTGCTGCTAAAGTGCAAAAGTACGGATACGGAAGTGCCCACCACTTCTGCGCTGCGTTTTCCCCCAACCCAGGGCAGGACGTCAGATTGACTAAACTCATGCAGCTGATACTTAGTGAACGAGCGTCCATGCCTCGGTGGTCTGAACACAGCTGTAGCCCTCCAAACGTTCACGTTTGCAGTATTTGGATGCAGAGCTGTTGTGATAGTGGTTACCTGAGGAGGGTGCTGTAGAGCTGGGGGCTGAGGAGAAGGAGAAGGCCCGTGTTCCTGTGTTGTCCTCCGTCCCGTCCACAATCCTGCAAGGCAAGAGAGAGTCCCTTTAGACCAGAGGTCAGAAACCTATGGCTCGGGAGCCAGATGTGGCTCTTTTGATGAATGTGTCTGGCTCTCAGACAAATCTTAGTATGCATTGATAATAATTAGGATGTTTTATTTATTGAATGGCTTAGTAGAGAATGTTATTTACCAAAATCATTCATTTGAGGCTAATATTACTCTCTAAATCTGTTGCTCTTGCTGTACACATATTCACAGTAAAAAAAATGTATGGCTCCCACAGAAATATATTTTATTATTAGTATTTTTTGCCTCTCTTAGCTGAAAAGGTTCCCAACATCTGCTTTAGACTGGAGGGTTCTATCTGACATGTTTTCTATAATGGAGTTATTGTCATAATAAAACTATATTTTGAGCAGAAACAGAGTTGACATTTTTCTCATTGACTTGGTGTTAGTTGGTTCGTCCTGCACCGGAGCCATCAGAAGATGGAAAAAAATGTAAACTGATCACTCACAGTCAACGACTGTTCTTAATTTCATTTTTAGTAGCAATTGAGATTGAGTGTACACACACTCTGTCTCAATCGCTGTGTGTGCAGTTAATTGCTTTAATAGGCCATACAGTATATATTAACACAATTTTTAAAAAAATATTTTGAGAATAATTATATAATTATTGCTTTATCAAGATAAGTCCTCTGAGATTACTATTGTTGTGATTTAGGGCTATAGGAGGATCTTGGAGTGGCCGGTCACGTGGCCGTGTGGCACTACAGCATAGAAAGATGCCTGGATGCTAGAGAGTTAGCTATTTTTAGACGTTTGTAGAGAGGTTTTACTAAATCAAATCGTCCGTTCTTGTTGTGTGGTCGGTTGTGCGACCGCTATGGAAAGATTAAGGTTTTTTTCTAATTATTTCGGAAAAGAACAGCGAAAAACGGCCGCGGTAAAGTGGTTGCCCTTTTATGCTGTTTCCTTCAGTAAATGTAGAACGGGAAGCCGGGGGGATGAGGGGATAAAAATTCATAAACAAATTTAAGTTTTGCAATTACTTTCACTGCAGACTTGTTCACTCATTCATTCATTCATGAATGATGATTAATCTTAAACATTGCATTTTGGTTGCTCATCCCCGCGGCTTCCTGTTCCACCTTTACCGTAAGTAACAGCAAACAGGGGCAACCCGCTTTTAATGTGCTTTACCACGACGGTGAAATGCCGGGCCACTTTACGGTGAAAACGCAAGAAATGGATTTTCATCACGGACCCTTCTTGAGTGAAGGGTCCCGGGTTCTCTATAAAGTAAGAATAAATGTCTCAGAGTCCCAGTCCCAGCTGATCTTTGCCAAGACAGAGGTGAGTCTGAGCAATGTTTCTTCTCGTCATCCCAGGTCTCATATGGGCTTTGAATTTGTTCAGTTCGGTCTCATATACTTATATCTCCTCTGATCTTCTTGCCTTAAAGTGCTTATACAGTATAAAGTGCTATTCGCCCACTGAGTCTTTTAAAAGTGCTTGTCGTATCCATGCTTCAGTATGTGCCGCTCTGCCCTCTTGCCACACAGCGAGGGGCGCATGCCCACGCGGGTGTAAAAAAAGATCCTCCTATACAAGAATAAATTGTAATTGTAAGAATTGTAATGATCATTATATTACAAATTTCAAACAATATAAACAACATTTCTTAAACCTGTAGTGAAGCATGGGGTGGAAACATACACGTTATACCTCTCTCATGGCCAAATGTAGGATTGGGATGGACTTATGTTATTGACTGCGATAAGTTTGTGTAAGCTCTCAGTCGTACAGGGATTAGTCAAAGCAAAGGAAGGTTTCTCACCCATCATCTGTATTTCTTAGCAGGTTTTCCCGACGTTTCGTCTTTCATCTAAAAGACTTCTTCAAGGGAATGAGATCTCAGACTGCGTGTTAGAGATTTATAACCTATGGGTGCGGTTAGCCATACATCGTTAGCCGCAGCAGGGTCGTTAGACCTGCTCCCTTCCACATCAAACAGACCTTAGATTGTTAATGAGTTAGCATCAGGATTAGGGTGTGGCTAACTACACCCATAGGTTATAAATCTCCAACGTGCAGTCTGAGATCTCATTCCCTTGAAGAAGTCCTTTAGATGAAGGACAAAACGTCAGGAAAACCTGCTAAGAAGTACAGATGATGGGTGAGAAACCTTCCTTTGCTTATGTTATAGACTAAATAATTGTTTTCCATCATGATTTTACAAATAAATTGTTTTAAATTAAATGTCCTTTTCTTCTCATTTTGAATTTGACAGTTGAGGTATATACTGTAAGTATCGCACACATTTTAAAGTGAGAGACTTGCACATTGGATTTCTGACATTTCCTTAATTTTCCCATCTAAATGTTCTGTTTCCTGCCTTGATCAAAGGTTGGTTTATTTGTTATCATTTTTGATAGGAATAGTGTCATACCGGTGGCTGAGGCTGGCGGGGTCCAGTGTTCTTTGAGACATCCTTCTCCTCTCTGCCCCCTTGCCCTCCTCCTGTGCCCGCTCCACCTGGGCTTCCACCAGGCGCCCGTTCCTCCTCTCCACCCGCTGAGGGCACAGTTACATTACAGCTTACTTTCTTACAACTCCTGTTCCATTCTTTTAAATATCACATGATCCAATGGCATCTCCTGTTTTCACAATTAGTGCATCTGAGGTTAAGGCCACGTTTTCAAAATGCAACATGAGAATGAAGCCTGTAGGGTTTAGTGACATTTTTGACTGCTCTCTTACACAGCATCAAATACTATCATTGTGGAAAGAAAGTGATTGTACCAGTGACAAGAACAAAGGTCAATGGCTCTGACTTCACTAGTGATGAAGAGTTATATCCTCATAACACCCACCTCAATTGGCTTGTGCATTGGTCCATTGGGGGGCAGATGAACAATGTCCATAAATGTCCATATACGTCCCAGATCATCACTGTCCTTAGATCCTCCTGCATCTACAGGAGGATCTAAGTTGTTGTCATGCTCCGGCGAGAGTTTGAACAAGAGTTATGGGAACTCTTGGCCCTGTAGCAACACACTTCTTCAAATAAGCGCACTCTATCCACCGGTGGGTGTGTTGTCTCGGGGTTTGTCGGATTCGAGCAAGCTGCAGGTATTTTGCCGCGATCTAACTTTGTTTTGCTATCTACAGTATGTAACTGATATGCTTTCGCTACAGGCGCCTCCTACACTACCTTTGACACGGTTGTCACACTGTGTCCAACATTACCAAGAGGAACTGGTGAGTTAAACTGTTTGGTTATTTTTTATGTAAATGTTTTTCTGTGTCTGCGCCTCGGCCCATTATGATGATGATTGTGATTATATATCTCTGCTGCTGTGACCCGTCCTGCTCCACCCAGAGGCTTCTCCATCTCTACTGCTGTGACCTGAAGGGCTGTTGCTGATTATTACTATTGTAAGCTTTTTAGAATGATCAATTTTCATTTAAAAAAATGCAGTGACCTTAAAATGTCAACAAAAAGGCGTTTAGCAGCTCATAAAAGAAGTGCTCAGCAGACCGGGAGAGGACCGCCAAACCAAAGCATCTAAAAGAAAATATTAAGAAATATAATCATCTTCAAATTATTTATGTGATATATTATATTTATATTATTTTAAAATGGTTGAATGAGAGCCTGTCTGAGCTGTACAGGCCGATCCACCAGTGCATCAAATGACACACCGTTGTCCTGTGCCATGTTGTGGAGGACCAAGCCAGGACCATGTGGCACACTTGTACAGGGAGGTACAAGAGCGTGTCCCCTGCATGTCCCAGAGCCATCTTCCTCTGATCAGCGTTCCACGGTGGCGCGCATCTTTGCTTGGACCCGCATGAACCAATTGCTGTTGCGAACTGATTTTAGGTGCTAGACATATAACAATCCACTAGACCTTTGAGTTCGACATCTTGCACGTTATTTAATAACACAAACTATTGACATAGCCCAAATATAACGGCGTAAATTGAATTGAATGTGTGTTATTTGCGTGTTGAGATGGGTGTAAAATGTACACCACCTCCAGACTCAGCACATATTCTTTGCGTACCATATGCTCACTTCCGGATTGATAAATGGCCAAAGCTGTACATTTTTTCCGTACACCTCATTTACACCCTGATTTGGCCATATGCAAATTTCATAAATGAGGGCCATTGCCACTGGAATATGCTCAATGCCCCTGATCTTTACAAGATCTTCCATGGTTGGCTGTATTGTAAAGCCATCTGATATTGTATGTTTTTTGTCCTTATAGCTTGCTTTTGTTCGTCCAGTCTATTTTTCAGTTTCCATTTTGTACGGCCTACATAGAAATGGCCTCAAAGACACTCAAGTCTGCTGTATATCAGGGACGTGCGGAGAGGTTTGTGATTGGGGAGGCACTGACTTTAACAGTCAGATTTACCATTATAATTCTAATAAAATAGCATAAAATTGTCAATGCAAAAACTTCCACAAACATTATATACTGTAAAGATAAGAGAACCAGCATATTGTAAAAAATCCCACAACAGCTCTAGATTCTGGCTCTCCGCTCCGCATCAAACCAAGTCTTTGCGAAGCACAGGTGCGAGAGACGGGAGGAGGGAGGGAGAGAGAGAGAGATGCAAGGAGTGAGAGAGAGGCGCAAGGAGCGAGAGAGACGCAAAGAGCGTGAGAGAGAGATGCAAGGAGCGAGAGAGAGAGAGATGCAAGGAGCAAGAGATGCAAGGAGAGAGAGAAAGAGTGACACAAAGAGCGTGAGAGAGAGACGCTAGGAGAGAGAGAGAGAGATGCAAGGAGAGAGAGAAAGGGAGAGATGCTAGGAGAGAGAGATAAACACAAGGAACACAAACAAGAATGAAACCATTTGCAGAACTTATGAGCAGTGTTAAATCAGTGTTTTTCGGGGAAGCACTTTTACGCAGCTCTAGTACATGTTCAATATAAAACACAGACAGACTCCGCCCCCGCGGCCGGACTAACCTCGTCAGTCCAGCGGGGGTCTTGTCTATATCACTTCTTGCTTTGATTGAAAGTTCAGTTGAGAAACAAATCCTCAATCCAATCATCCATTTTCCAGCAAAAGAAATAGCACCGACAGGACTGATTGTTGGTTAGCAAAATATTTACAGTCTGTTAGCATCTCGGGTAGAACTTCACGCTCACTATCACCCCTAGCGGTGAGGCACAGACACTGCCTGCCTCACGCCACGCTTTTTCCCTGTGTATTCTTCTCCAATCAAAAGTAAATGATCGGACTTAAAATAAATATAGATAGTACACACATACGTGCAATACACTTCTAAACACTATGATGTGAAGTTTAACAACTGTTTTCACAGCAGGATATTTGAAACAAACAGCGATATATCAACAGCACGAGCTGAGTGCACTCACACAGACCACAGTGAGGGAGCGAGCGATCTGGGGGGAGGCACATATGAGCGCTGCCTCACCTTGTCTCTTTGAATAGGAAAAATAGGATTTGAGGGCTTTTGACTTCAGAAATGATCAAAACTGGTCAAAACCATGCCAAAAATACATTAAAAGCATAGGACAGTGGAAAACAATTATATATTTTGACTAAAATGATAATAATTTTTTCAATGATGGCAGGGGAGGCAGACAGTGACTGCACGTCACTGCTGTATATACTACAAAGGTAGTATTACAATTGATGACTGTTTTGATGATTGAAGTTTGTCAGGATGAAACTTCCGTAAAGTCCGCTGAATATGGTCACAGTATGTCAGGGCTTAAAGAGTTCCGTCAAGGTGACAGGTTTCCGTCAAATGAAATTGGTCTGAAAAAAATATTTTTATTTTTTTTAATAATAATACACACCATGAAATGGTTTAACTTATAAACATGTAACTTAATGCATATATGTGTGTTTCTGTTATAAAGATCTATATATACAATATGAATATAATTGTATTTATATGTATGTATAAATAAAAAGTAATATAATCACGAGTGGGACTTGAATGTGCCGTAAGTAAGTAAGTAATCTTTATTTATATACCGCCTTTTCACTGCACAAGTAGCTAATGTAAGCGTGGCTGGGGGGGGGGGGGGGGGGGGGGGGGGGTACTGTGTACTGTCATGCGTTTGGAGTCTATTTTGCACCTTCAAGCAGAGTCATTGACCCAAGAAGCTGGGTTCTATGGGTTCTATGAATTCTATCTCGAGTTAGAATATTAGTGTGAATGGATTTAACTCCAGATCTGTATTTCAGTTCATGAGTCATTACAGAGGACATACAATCCATGCACACATTGAGATTCAGTTTCAGTTTAGTTTATTTCAAAGGGGGACAATGCAATTTAATAAAACACATGATAAAACATGAGTTAAAAAAAGCCAGAATTAGCCAAGGAGGCTATTTTTCATCTGTAGTCCCCTGGCTGTGATGTTAAAAAGCTATTAAAATACATTAACATGACAAAATTACAAGACAGATAACATCATTCAAGACTAACATTGTGTTCACACATTCAAAAATATACTATTTACAAGACTGCATAAGCATATCATACATCAGTTAATGTGGGCAAAATACATTAAGAGAGGTGTACCTCCCATTCATACTGTTTCTTACATCCCAAATAAAAAAAATTCAGGGATTTATTTGTTTTCTGATGTGAAGCATATATTACAAAATGAAGAAATTACCGTTTTCCATTGAATCACAGCCTTGATATTGTATTTTGCATCGTCCTAACAAAATTTTCTGTAAAACCCAAAATACTGAAAATCATGAATGTATTTAAAAATCAATATTATTCCTCGATACTGATCAGCTGCAGTCCCTCCGACGCATCTGCTAACACAAATGCAAAAACCCAAGGCCAGCAAGGGCCAATCTGGTAACCGTGGATCTACTGTAACAACCAGCAATAACAAACTTCACTACAAGTTTCAATTTCCACACAATGGTGCACTCTTCCAGACCATGGTCACCTCCGCTTCAGGCGCTCTTGACCCCTTGGCCCCATTATCTTCTCGCACACTATCCAGGGACACGGACCAAGAGATCCTTAGTTCTTCCCTCAGTGATCCCTCAGATCAGGGTTAATGAAAATACAAGATTTCAACCATAATGGCTTTCATAAAGTAGTGATTAGTAGACGAAAGCACATTCATCTTGTTTAAAATAGGGCTGCATGAATGTGAACATAATGTGTTATGAGGGCCAAAGCACAGGGGCCTCTCACCACTCGATCACAGTCAGGGGCACTGATGACCCCTGCATCGTCCAGGAAGGCCCTGACCATATATGCAGAGCCATAGCTCTGATTGGTCAGCTGACATAATGAGTTTTATATTTTACAAATCGAAGCCACTCCCTCATGTTGATGATTGATGTAGTACACAGTCCTCCAGCCTGACGATCCACATAATTCCATCCCGTCTCTTCTATACAAAGGCAGGATGCGGTACATCTGACATCAGCCACCTATCCTTGTCTACGGTGTCCGCAGCCACTTCCTCTTAGCTGTAAAGAAGAGGGTTTGGCTTGCACATTGCTTCTGCATGTGTTCATGTTTTTGGCAAAAGCAGGAAACATGATGTGACTATTGTGCTGCGGAAATGAGTTTTGCGGCAGTTAGGCCTGTTATTTATTATAATATTACTGGGCAAAGCAAAAGATATGAGAAGCCGTTTAATAACACCTTAAGGCTCCATTTGCTCAGAGGGCGAATGGAGACTAGCACTTCTTCTCTTCACCTGCATCTCCAGTCCCTCCCCCAACTCTCCTCACCTGCATCTCCAGTCCCTCCCGCAGGTTGTAGGTGAGGTCTTGCTGGATGTCCCGTACAAAGCAGTGGGAGTACTCGGGGTACAGGTCCAGGACTTCGTAGAGCCCCTTCAGGTTGATGCACTGCAGGTCACAGTAGGTCAGAGCCTTCACGTCTGCATTGGTCTTGATCACACGGTCGTCCAGAGAAAGGTTTGCCCCGATCAAGTCTCCTTTACCTACACACACACGCACACACAGAATTGGTCCAGTTGTTTTTTTGACTCAAACATAAACTGATTTTATTTTCATGGCACTTGCTTGTTTCAGATTAATTTATTTACCATTTGCAGTAAAACCACATTGGAATGCATTATCAAAAGTCACCAGTGTGCACAAGACAAGTACATTAACAACATTAAAAGTACAGAAATAAAACAAATAAAACAGTAGACAATTGCCACTGTGAAATCGATCGACCAAACAGTATCAATGCATGTGCAAAACATTAAAGTGCTCTGTTCAAACTGATAACAGCTTGTGGAGAAAAACGCGGTTAGCATGGCGAGATGTCCTACATCTCAGAGAACGATATCTTCTGCCAGAGGGAAGAAGCTGGAACATGGATTTCCCAAGGTGGCCAGAAGGGTCGTTGATCATTCTCAGAGCTTGGTTTAAAAGTCTGGATTTATATAGAACCTCCAGACCAGGAAGCTCACAGCCCACAGTACTCTTTGCAGAGCGAAGCACCTTGTTTAAAGCTCTCTTTTCTTTATCTGTGATGTTTCCAAACCACACAGTCACAAAGACAACAAGCAAACTTTCAATGGTGCAGCGATAAAAGTTTAGCAGAATCTTAGAGATGTTTCCCCTCATTTGCAAAGAAATACATGCAACGCATTGGAAACCTGCATCAGGAATTTACCCAAAGATTCTCTGATGTTGAAAGAAAGAGAAACTCGCTTCAGACAGATTCACAAACAGCACCAGAGCATTTACAAATGAAAAGGATCCACCTACAAAGTGACTCTGTTTAAATGTGAAGTTTGGTGGAACTGGATACGCTTTACGTGTCACTTAATGAGTGTCACAAAAGATGCTTCTATTGTTTAGTTCTACATACTGTATGCTTGTGAGCAAACACTCAGAGTGATGACCATCAACAAAGGCAAGCTGGACAAGGTAACTATGAAGTCCAGCTCTCTTCTGGGCTGTTCCCTGTACACCATCGATGGTAGGTCGTTTTCATATATTATCTTTTGAGAACAGCCCCCACTAGAAAAACACCAAACTCGGATGAATTGGCGATAAATGCTATCGATACAACTGTTCCCACTAAAATTGTGTGAAAAGGTGACCGCTTTTACTAAAACTAGTTGTTGTACATGTAGGATGAAAATGACATGTGTTGTAGAATTAAAATGTTGTATACTAATGATTTTCAGTAGGTGTTTGCATACCATGTCTTTGTGCAATATTAAGCCTGGATCTCGTGGAATTCAGAGAAGGACCAGACCTCCCCCAGCCAGATAAGAGTTGTTTGGAGAAGGGCTTCTTCCTTATAAGGAAGAAGCTATAGGTTGGAATGTGTGAATCCCCTTTTCCGAACTAATTAGGAAAATTGGCTTCTCCAGCGGTCTTTGTTCTCTGTTCACCGGACAACTTTCTGTGGCTTTATAGCTCAGTTGATAAAGAGGGTGGACTCTGGTGTGAGATGGACTCGGGTTCAAGTACAGTCTACTGACACTTTGATTTTGTTGACGTTTATATTTTTTTCTAAATCATACTTAGTAATTTAGGCCAACACATTTAAATAGTTGCTAGTACTGTAGGTAAAACTGTTGTAAATCTTCACCAATCTGCACCAATCCAAACTGCAGGAAAAAAAAAATGCTACTTTATTTACCAGTAACAGTAGTAATCGGATTCTTATACTCCCACCGCTAATAAAATTGAAGGTTTGGCGGGGGCTACGTAAACCATGATCATTCCAAGCGATAAGACTTGGACAATCCCAATACGCCACACAGGCGCTGGAGAAAAACGGGATCTAATACTAAAGACGCGCTGAGTGAATGAGCGTGCGTATGTGCAGGACGCGTTAATTGCATGATATGCAAGTTAATGCATATGTTATTGCCATATGATCTGCTTACTCCTGTGCATTTTTGAATTCCTAATTAATTGGTGCTAGTATGTAACATGTTGTAGTTTAAATTTTTGTATTGCTAATCATTACAATATAGATCTGAATAATCCGTGTACCCTTTCAATCAATCAGGTATTCAGTTTCAAAATAAAAATCAGAAAAAAAGTTTATTCGTGTATGTTATTTCTCCTTTTCTAATTCAAATTGGAAAATCAAATCCTTTTTAATCCCGATGTTACAATCCGTGTACCCTTAAATCATTAGTTATTCGTTTTCAAAACAAAAATCAGAAAAACAAGATTTCGTGGTTGTTTTATTGTATTTCCATTTTCAATTTAAATTGGAAAATCATTTCATTCTAAATGAAATATTCTCCCTTTTCTTTGCTATGCAGGTGGAAACAAACACTACTAAACAACTTCCATTTTTTTTGTTTGATATGTTACCGGAAATGATGAGTGGTTGAGAGACGGAAACAATTCATGCTGCACTCAAACTCAACTCTATACACGACAAACAAATAGCGCTGTTGTTGAGTGCCCCCCATGGCCCGAGCCTCCAGGGGCTTAATGCTTACAGGACATGGTATTACCAGGCGGTCTCCCCATCAAAGTTCTTATGGGGGAAAACTTTGTGGGCCGCTGCTCTTAAACAGAGAGTGCGGCTTTCTCCATTCATGCTGGTTTACATACGCACTCGTAAAGTCTTCTCTGATAATACACTATGTTTTTTTGGTCGTTCTTTATGTTTCACTCCATAAAAGTCTCTCTTATTGTGCCGTAGATCGTTCACACCGTCTGTTGTTTTGAAATCTAGAGTGTGTAGTGCGCTGTTTATGATTGTTTACCTCCGTGGTCAGTATGGTATTTGCTGCTTGCTCGTAGATCTCTCTGTTTGGATCAATATTGTATAGAAAACACTTTCTCTTGAGTTGTACATAAACCAATCTGTAATCACTGTATTCTACTGTATACTGTTATTTCAGTTTGTTTAACGTCTGGTTTGTAGTAGTATTTCAGCGCTAGATAATTTTTATTAGTAATTATGTGTTGACTGTGTGTACTATCTATATGTATTTCACTTTTCTATAGTTCAGCAACACATTGAGTTGAAATGAATTATTGTGCATGTAAGTTACGATACCAAATGTATTTGTGTTTTACCAGCTTCATATTTTCCTTCCATAACTGTACTTACTGTATCCAGGAGCTCATGCTGCTAATGTCCAGTTGAAAACCATACAACTGTATATGTCTTCTATAGATTTCAGGATTCATGCTTCTTTTATAATGCTAAATTTAAGTATTTCTATTCTGTATATATGCTAAAGATATATACATCTATACATCTCTCTCTCCTCATGCGATAGCTAGATATTTTTGATCTTTTTTTGTTGTTTGCTGACAATATGAATCAATCATTCAATCAAAGTTTTATTTGTTTGAGGCTTTCTTGACAGGGCAACACAAAATGCGCTTCAAGTCCACATCAGCAAATCATCACATAAATCAAACAACAGAATCACTATTAAAACATTAAAATCACACTAAGATTAATACACAATTAAACAAAACAATATAATCACACAACAGAATTAAAAACTTAAACACTTTCAAAGTGACACATGAAATTACAAAATAAATAAATAAATGCCAGCAGTGCATTACATATGGAGATAAAATCCGTCAGTTTGTATGCACAGGCAAACAGAACAGTTCTTTAACCGGGATTTGAACATTGACTGAGTAGACGCCTCCCTCACATTTTCGGGGAGATTGTTCCAGATCTTAGCTGCATAGATTTGAATACGCAGCCTCCCTCCCCATGTTTGGTTCTCACTCTGGGCGACCAGCAGGAGGCCATGTCCCTGTGCTCATCAGAGTCCCGGGCTGTTCATATGACACAACATGTTCATAATGTATTCTGGTTGAAGGAAGTGCAATGGAGTAGACTTGTACACTAGCAGTAGCTGTTTTAAAATCTATTCTTTGTGGCCCACAGGAAGCCATGTGCAGAGACCGGAGGACCCGGAATCTAATATGGTCATACTTCTGTTCCTGTCAGGACTCTAGCTGCGCATTCTTGCGATGTACTGTCAGTGCTTACAGGTATGTTTGGACAGGACATGTAAGCAGGCCATTGCACAGTTAGGCTACCTGTGGGGACAAATGCGTGGACAAGAATCTCCATGTCTGCATGGACACTATATTTCTGGACTTTGGCAAGGTTCTTCATGATGGTAAAAAAGCTGTTGCTGTTATTGATTTTATAGGGGCTATTGAAATTTAGGTATGAGTCCAGTATTACCCCCAAATTTCTGACCGTGTCTGAAGGAAGTAGGGAGAGAGAGACTGATGTGGACAGATGTAAGCCCTCTTCTTTTGTTTCGGGGACTAAAGACAATGATTTCGGTTTTTGTCTGCTTTTTATGCTGGAGGAAATTATTTTTGCTTCCACTCAATGATCTGTTGGGTATACAGTGAAGGAGCAAAATCAGTGGTCCATGTTTCTCCTGCAGTCAGGAGACATAGATCTGTGTGTCGGCGGCGTTAATTGTGGTAGGACATTTGTTTCTTTGTATTAATCTGACCTAACGGCAAGCATGTTAGAGATTAAATAGGAGAGGGTCCCAGGATCGACCCTGTGGTACTCCAAGGTCAGGGCCACTATGATCTGAGACGCAGTCTACTATCTCCACAAAGTACTTCTATCCTCCAGTTAGACCTAATCCAGGCTAGGCTGTGCTAGTGACACCTTCCCAGTCACTCCAGTTTCTCTGATGAGGGATCTCATGGTCGACAGTGTCGCGAAACGCGGCTACTAAGGATCTACATGACATAACTAGTGAGCTGTTACCGGCATCAGTGTGAAGGTCGTATGTCGTTGTGTTACCTTTCACTAGAGCGGTCTCTAGTTGCTGTGGTGGGGTCTAAAAACCCAGACTGGGAACATATCAAAAGAATTATTCATTGTTAAATATTTCATTAAGTTGTTGGGAGGCCACTTTTTCAGATATTTTTCCAATGAATGGCAGATTCGATTATGGGGCGGATAATTTTGGAGTCCAGCAGGATCCAGACTGCTCTTTTTTAGGAGAGGTCTTATGACTGCTGCTTTAGGGCCATAGGAAATTGGTTCCTGACGACTGAGACATGTTTACTATTTGTGTCAGTGAAGGTAACTAAACTGTCAGGAACGGACTTTCAGAAATTTAGAGGCAATATTATCCAGGCTACATGTGGAGGAGCTCAGATCATGATTATCTTTTTGACAAGTTTCTGTATCCCTCAGGTGCAAGTGAGTTTTGCTCAAAAAGCTTCTCTGGGGCTGTTGCATTGTTATACGTGCTGGTGGAGTTGATAGTGTTTTGTTTCCTTGTACTGTGTTCATCGAAAAACTGTGCGAACTCATTACACCTAGATTTAGAGGAAAATTCTAGGGGCAACTTTACAGGGGGTTCGTTAATCTACCAACTGTTGAAAACATAACACGGGAAAATTGTTACTTAGCAACCTCCAATAATGTCAGAGAAAAATACATTCTCTTGTTATTCGTAGAACCCGGTTAACTTCACCCAATCATCTTTAAAGATTTCATAATCGCCCTGGAAATTGGGACTTTCGCCACTTACGTTAGGCCCTCCGGCACTCTTGCTTCTGGTGTGCTTGACCGAGTCTGCCTTTGTCCATGGGGCCTTGTTCTGACTGGGAAAACTATTTTTATACAGTCACAGGGAGCAATGGCGTCCAGAACATTCAGAACATCTGGTGCGTGACTGAGTTATACAATTCATCAAACAGTAGAGCATGGAGTTTCTCAAAATTTAGCATTCCCATGAACAGTTCACCGCGTGTTTTCATGTATGTGTCTTCTTCTAGCAATTGTAAATTTCAGTGGTGGTTTGCTAGCAAAAACTTCATGTCAAAAATATACAACAGAAATGATCTGACAAGCCCCAAATAAAAACTTCAACTACATCTAACTTTTGTTCATACATTAACCCCCTTTGTA